TTCCCAGTTCACAATTAACATTACAGTTTATCCTTGCCTTCCTTTTTATTTTTGCCTTTTCTCTTACAGTGAAAATCTTGGTACCAATAACATTTACCTATTTGTTTTACCCTCTAATATACGTTAAATAATTTCAGAGTTAGAATTATAACATTTCTACTTAGAATTGTAAAAAAAGTTCTTTGTGCACTCAGAATACATCTCAGTAAATTACAGCACTGTACGTTACCTGATTTGGGGAAACTAAGTTGTAATGAGAGAAACTGGTCAAAATTTTGTTAAAATCTGTGTAAAGACAGGACATTACCAAGGCAGAAAGGAATGTGAGGGTCCAAGATCTGGAAAGTAGGGAAGAACAGAGAGGTGAACTAAATATTTAGTGATGCTCTTAAAATTCCCCAAGTAGTAGAGCATCATGCTGAATGCTGTTACTGGGAAATACAAAACTTGTTGTTGGTGACCCACCAAAAAAGAGCAGGCCTGGTAAATACCCATTTTTTACTGGGGACACCAATAGGACTACACACTAGAGGTGAAGATCTGAAGCCACATCCCTCATCAGCTGAGTCCCTGATTGTGTTAAGAAGATATGCATCACAAGGTTTGGGAGACTGAGGCAGGAATATCACAAGTTCAAAGCCAGTCTCAGCAACTTAATGAGGCCCTCAGCAACTTGTCTCAAAATAAAAAGGGTTGGGGATGTGGTTCAATGGTTAAGTCCCCCTGGGTTTAATCTCTGGTATCAGAAAAAAAGAAAGAAAAAAGAAGCTATGCACCTCACTCCCTCTCTGCATTTGCCAGAGCAAAAGTATATCCTCCCAGGAAGAAACCACCACCTGTAACTTCAATTTATCTCTACAACTTTTTATGTATGAATTACCTAGAATATCAGAGTCCAAATGACTAAAAGCTCAGAGAGAAACAGATACTAAAAATAGATACATTAGAGTTATTAGACATGAACATTAAAACATGGTTAATGTGTTGAAGAAAATTGATGACAAGATGGGGAAAAGGTCTAACATAATTAGTCACATATAGGTATAAAAATAGGGCAGGGCAGTATTTGGAGACAGAATGACTAAGAAACTTTTAAAAACTTATAAGTAGAGGGTATCACAACAGTTCAGATATGGGATGGAAGGGCACAAAGGCACTTGGAACAGAAAAAAAAGGCAAACTGGGAAACTTTAAGCTAAAAACACTAGACAACTAAGGAACTGGCAGTTAAATCAAGTAAGTTTCCTAACTAAATAGATGCTCAAATGAATGGATGTCTCATTTTCTAATTCTGCACCTGGAAAGACCATGCTTCCATTTAACAGACAGGAAAGAAGATGATCTGTTTCCTGGTCATGGTAAATGAGCAGATAGTGATTCAACATCCCAAAGTAAAGCCATCATGAAATAAAGTGTTATGAATAGAAACCACCATACTGATGACCAATTTTTTAAAATACTTATTTTCTAGTTTTAGGTTGACACAATATCTTTATTTTATATTTATGTGGTGCTGAGGATCGAACCCAGTGCCTCATGCATATTAGTTGAGCACTCTACCACTGAGTGACAACCTCAGCATCTGACCAGTTTGTTTTTATTTGCTTTATTTCATTAAAAAAATCTTTAAAAGGATACAATATGGGCATAACTATGGATGTTTACGATATTTTAAGTTACTCTATAGTACTAAGATGTCAAGGACAAAGTTTCACAAAAATAAGACCCTATGGCAGCAAGTATGTCCTGTAAAGAACCTGAGGTCCTTTTTTCTTTCAGAATTTTGGCATTATGTTGTGTTTGACTTTAAAGGCCAACGATGCCCCACAAATTACTGTGTATTCCTCAACAATTACTTATATAGCTTGATTAGTCTTAAGAGTTGGCAAACTCAAACATTACCTAAAGGGTCAAACCAGTCTGCAGATCTGTTATCAGTAAGATTAATTTGGGGAGAAAGGATGAATTTTTCCTTTTGCTCAAGCGGGAAAAGAAAAACCTTTTGATTAGTCAATTAGGTAACTGTGAAAATATTTGTAAACATTTTTGTTAACAATAAGCAAATGGTTCAAACACTTGATTGAACTCAGCTCTTAATTCTAGGCTATTCAATTGAGCTGTAAAAGTCTATGGGGTTGCTCGGTGAAACTGAGAGCATTACTAGCTTCTTCCATTCAAATTCTTTAAGAAACAGTAATAATTCCATGGACCAATTTGCTCCACGGACCACTTCAATGAGGCGAGACCCAGGTGACTTCCTTTGCATGGGGGAAAAAAAGGACCAGATGCAATCCCCAAACTTAGCGAGATTGCCTTTCTACCCCAAACCTGTTTTTGAAGCATGAAATCGTGAAGAACCATACCGTGAAGAAGATTCTCCCGGAGTTTCCCAGAAGTTTTTAATAAGTTCTCAAGAAATGCTACTAGCTGTTCCTTACTCAGTTCTTTGTCTTGCAAGATTTCTCGTAGAGTTTCTGCCGAAACTAACCTGAAGGCGCCGTCTCCCGGAAGTGAAGGGCCTGGTTCGTGGTGGACGGCGTCCACCGCGAAGACCTGCTCCCTGAACACCACCACCGAGGACCACCATTCTGCGGCCAAGTTCTTCCGCAGCTCTATGCCCAAAGGTCCAAAACCCGGGTGGCACCCGCTCAGAAGAGAATCTCGGCTAAGCTGCTGCTTAGTTCCGCTAAGAAAATGCCTTCTCTGACAAACCTCCACCAGCGTCTCACTCTCGGCAGACTCGGTGGCTTCCGTGTCCTCGCAGCCCCGGGCGAGCTCCGCGTGGGCGTCCGGGTGCCCTCCGAGGGAGCCACTCCTTTCCGCCAAACGCTCGGCTTGTCCCCCTTCTATTCGACCCCCAAACCCAGACAACAGACACCTGCAGACTTTTCTGCAGGCCCTGATGGCTACATTAGAGCGCATCTCCTTCAAGAGTTAAAGAGCACGATACCCCATCACTGTGAAGAGCCCAACAAACTGCCACAAACTGTAGGGGACGACGCCGCAGGCGATGGAAACGAGCATGCGCTGGAAGGACCCGCCTCCGGAAGTGAATCACTGCATTGACAGCCACTTCCGGCTTGCCCCGCCCGGTGTTGCTCACGGGATCTTTACCGTCTACCCACTGTAGTGTAGTAGCGCCCGCCCCCCGCCCGGGCTCCCCAGCCGGCAATTGCTGGTAATTGGTCCTTTTTCACCCGTATCTCACCTACTTTTCACCAGTGTCCTGCAGTCACTTGAGTCAACTTTAACTTCCATACTTTGAAATCCGGAAATACGACCAAAACTTGTGTTCTCCAAATCACCATTTAAATAAACTATTTAATCTTAGGTGTCCACAAAAATAAAATTTGGCTTCCATTTTTAAAAAGGTTTTAGCCAGACTCAGTGGTGCACGCCTGTACTCCCAGAGGCTCGCGAGTTCAAAGCCAGCCTCAGCAAAAGCGAGGCGCTAAGCAACGTAGTGAGACCCGTGATGTAAGGTCAGTACCGGTGATCAAAACAAGACAGATTAAAAGCCACAGCTCAGTGGTCGAATGCTCCCGAGTTCAATCCCCAGTACTCCCTTCTCCYCCCAAATTTAAAAAAAATATATATATTTTTTAACCATTTATGATGGTTTAGACCCAGACTTTCCGGGGCACATGCTGCCGGTAGAAAGCTCCTGGAGTTGTCTCGAATTGAGCTCCAGCCATTTTTTAAAAAATATTTTAGTCAATGGACTTGGGTGCCAAGATAAGAATCTAGTGCCTCACACATGCTAGGCAAGCGCTCTACCACTGAGCTATGACCCCCATCCCTCCAGCTGTGTTTTAAAAAAAGCCCTCCCCTGATACAGAACCCCTAACGTACAAGCAGCCTTTTTCAAAAGGGGATGTTTGCCTGGGTTTAGACTCCCAAGATCAGACCCCTCAACCACCTACCTAGCAAACATGTGATGACTTTACAATCACTTTTTGAACCGGAAGAGACTTTAATTGCTTAGTGGGAAAGTACAGCCAGAGATAAAAAGTCGCTGATTCCAAACTTCATTTCCTAATAGCTTCCCTCAGGTGGTTCTGGAAAGTTTTAAGATTAATAGGCCCAGTAGAGAGTAACAAGTAACCTACATTTCACTAGGTTCCAAGAAAGGGGCTGTTTACAAAGGGTAGTCATTTAGCAATCCAATTATTTATATTTGGTTGTTGCTGGGCCGGGTGGCACATAATTATAACGCCAGCAACTCAAAAGGCAGGATGTTTTTGAGGCCAGTTAGCCAGTCCTTGTCTCCAAAGGGATGAGGACGTTTGATCATGAAAAAGTTGTAGGACAGGTTCAAGAAATAATTCCTTACAAAGTGGGTGTTAACAGATGGGGGAGAGAGAAGGTAAACAATTATAGTGATAAATGTTCTTCTACACTAATTCACTAAGGAAGAGGCTTCTTCGCAAATAAATAAAGGAAGAGAATGGGGAGGAAAATAAATCACATTTATTAAAGACAACCACAGGCTGGACACAACAGACATGCTAAAAAGTGGACTGTGTTAAAATTTCAAAGGTAAATGTTTTTTTCCACAGTCCCACAATCACTTCCATGTTTACAAATTAAAAAGGCTCATGTTAAAGACATTAAACAATAAATATGTAATAAGTGCTCCAACCTATCCCAAAAGCTTTTTCTAAGTTAAAAATCACAAGACTAACCCATGCCATTGAAAACTATTCAGGCAGGGTTCTAGAGGCTGAATTCAGTTTTCAATGTTTATTAGTCCTAGAAATACCACTCCCTATCCCAGCCCCCACCTTAAGCATGTTCTCATTTTACATTTTAGAGGTAAGGCATTAACATCAAAGCCTCAACTTAATCCTCAGAATTTAAATGAAGACTCCTTTAGACTTTCAAAATTCTGAGGTAAACATATACCAGACCCTATTGGGAAGTAGTCATTGGTAAAATCGGAAAGGTGGGTGAACCAAAGTTAACTCTAATACTATCCCCTGGATTTTTTTTTTCTTTTAAAGCAATAATCTCCAGAATCTAACATGAAGACCTGACCCTTATAATTCACTGTGCTTTTGGTTATGTTGCCTCAGATTAAACATTTTGACGAGGTTTCCCCCGTTAAGAGTATGAATAGACCTTACAGTTTGAAGACCTCTAGAACTCCCTGAATTATGAGGACATTCATGACTCTCAGTATGACCAAGATACCGGAAAAGTCTTTAAAGACTAGAATCTACAAGTAATCTGCACTAAAGACATTATGCATATTCAATTGGTAAAGACTCAGTTCTCAGGCTTAAATGTTTGTTGTTCACAATACAGTCAAGAGCATGAATGTTTTTTTTTTCTGGTGGTACTGGGGATTGAACCCAGGGCCTTTTGCATGTGAGGAAAGCACTCTATATAACCCAGCTGCTGATATAATCTTTTTGAAAAAGCAAGTTATTTGAAGCTCTTTATAGATTTTGCAAAAGAACAGTCATATATGTTTGTTCCAATTCCATACAGGTGATTCTATTATCTTACCGTCTTTTCATCTTAATAAGGAACACAGGCTATTAAAAATGACTCCCTGATGTTGGAAGCTTACTGACAAAGCTTTTATACAATTTAGTCTAAAAAATCATAAATTTACCTAAATCAATCCCATTTTAAAGGGGCCTCTTGATTCCCATTTCCCAATGGAAAAAGCAGTCACTTTATTTTTTTTTTTTTAAAAAAGCAAAACCAAAAACCCATACCATCTAAGCCAAGTTTTACATGACAATGTGTAAAATAAAGTACAATTTCCACTTAATTCAGTCTTCAAATATCTTTTATTGGAAGGCCATGCATCGCCTTCATTTATTGTATTTCAAATCACTGTACAGTTACTTTTGTGAAAACACTGCCTGCATTTTCTAGTACAAAAAAAAACCTAAAAATTGTTTCAGGAATGTAGAGAAATATCCAACTTAAATAGCGAAAAAGTGCACCATAATTACTGCTGCACTGCAGTCATTTCTGCATTTCCCATGTTTCTTAAATAACTATCGTCTGATAACACACAATATAAAGAGCAATTATGAAAAACAGACATTTACATATACTTCTAAAGTCTTATTGAGAATATCCTGTTGGCATTGGATAGCCAATCATAGGTGCAGCTGCAGTAGCAGGATATGCATATGCCTGTTGGTTCATACCATTGTGCATATTTGGAACATTACTTCCATATTGCTGAGTGCTATCATAACCATTCTGGTAAGTCCCTGTTGGATTACCAGTCCTAAAACTGGTCTGTATACCAGCAGACACAAAATTACTTCCAAAGCTCCCATTGGTATAATTTGCAGCACTGTAAACACCATTCTGAGTTTTTGCCCCAAAATCTCTCTTAAGCAGACTAGAGTAACCTCTGTCATAATTTTCCCTGTCTCTAAAGGTATTAAATCCACCCCTTTTGCCCGCAGAGTATCTGTCCCGACGGTCATCCTTCATGCCTCCTCTACCCCTGGAACGACCTGTTAAGAAAATAATTGCAAATTGATCAATTAGGTCTATGGCACAAATTATTGCTAACACAGAAAGAAYTGGGTAGCTCTATTCATGCTAGGTTTGAAGTGGGTTTTACAATTTCACAACAGAAATTTCAAAATTTTACTCACCCTCCGGGTTCCATTTAAGTGGATTTGTAGATARCAATGTGATCCCAAAACTACCCATATTTCTTATTGAAGGTTTAGCCTTACCTGAACCTCTGTCTTCGACCAACTGAAGCAACTTGGGATTAATTGCTTGATTAGCTTCACGAAGCACAGAGATAAGGTCGCTCACTTGCTTTATGTTATTAGGTGTAAAGAAAGTGTATGCTGTGCCTGTTTTGGTACTGCGAGCAGTTCTTCCAATTCGATGAATATAATCCTCTGAGGAGTTAGGGTAGTCATAATTGATGACAAATTTCACATCTTCCACATCTGTAAGGTGTTGCAGTGTGGCAAAATAGCAATGTACGGAGTTTTGCACACCACAACAGCCAGACCAAAAATAAAAAGTTAGACAATTGTATTCCCAAGAAGGTACGGGCTGCAAAAAATACAGTTAAAATGGTTATCCATTCCTGTAGGAATACCATTGAGGTTGAAAAAAAAAAAAAAAGAAAAAGAAAAAAAAAAAAAGCACATGTCATCTGTACAGGTCATTGCCCACCCAGTGATAGCACCTGTCGAAAGGAATATGTATTCTCCCTAGCACATTCCCAAATCGGCAAGTCCCCTTACAGATCATCAAGTGACATCTGAATGCTTCTGCGCAGTAGGGCCACTTATAGTTTCACAGCAACCTCTTCATGTGCTCATTTTGAGGACCTTTGAACAAAAACGTACAAGGTCCTTTGCATTACACACTCATCAGAAGTTCAAAATTCGGGCCACACTGCTCGTCTTGCCAAGACCTTACAACCGCAGCTGCAAGAAAAACATACCTGTCCCCCAAAAGTTGTTTTTATGCACTGTGTCTCGTCTAGGCAAGCGCTTCCAAGAAGCCAGGATTCACTTGAGAATGTGTCTCTCTCTGGCAGGTCTCGACATGACGACTACTGTGTAGGTGAGGGAGGAACTTTCAAAGCACTGCTTTCTTTTCCCACTGACTAAGTGTGAGAAGTTGCTCCTGCTCTAGGTCTCATGTGCCAGTACTCACCAATTTGTAAAAGGCTTAGTACCTTTTAAAGCTGCTCTCTCCATTTCAAACTTGAACAAAAATTTCATTGAACATTGAAGTTTGGAAATATTTCTTCGACATTTCAGCAAACTCACTGAAACTCAAAGACCCACAGATCACAGTAAACATTTGGAAACAATGCTGTACCATGGCAATCATGCAAAGCATGGGACAGAAGAAATACCACGGCAGTGAACTGTGAGGATAACTTCCATTTTTTTCCCCCGGAGAGAACAGTTTATGGGGCAGAGATGGTATGTTCTGCCCTTTGAAGATTACTGGCACACTTTCAGCTTTTCACCTCTCTAATCGACTGGAAGCAGCCAGCCGATCACTAGTCCTCCATCCCCCTCGAGTCCTCCGATTGTCATGCCTAGGCCTTGCCACAAAGACTGCACCTTTATGTGAAAAAAACTTGGAAAAAATGCAGAGGTTAAAGAAAGCAATAAACTTTCTTTAAAAAAACTACATGGAGATCTTCTGGGAAACCAAGCCATGAATGCGAGTTTGTACTAACCTAGCCCTCTGGAGGCCACATCTGTAGCAATCAGAATAGGAGCTTTTCCGTGTTTGAATTCTACAAAGGAAGGCATATATATATATATATAAAACCATTAATCTGAGCAAAAAAATCCAAATTAATAAGAAAATTTCTATAAATACTTACCATTTAGAACCCAGTCACGTTCCTGTTGACTCTTGTCACCATGRATACCCATGGCAGGCCACCTAGATTAAAAAGCTACATTAGCAGACTAACATTTAAAACCTGAGGCAGATTCTAGCATTTCTGGTAGCAGACCTCTTTCATTTCACCAGAAATAAGATAATTTTTCTTATCATATGATCCCCATAAATGAAACCTAAGATTCATCACTTGCATTTTCCTAAAATTATTTCAACTGAGAAAGCCCACTTACCCATCTCTCCTCATTTTTCTAGTAAGCTCATCACATCTTCTTTTGGTTTCAACAAAAACAATGGTTTTATTCTCCTTCTCACTCATGATCTCTTCCATCAGGCGAATAAGTCTGGATATAAAGGAAAAATTATGCATTTTAAAAAGCAGATCAATGGTGATAGGTACACATTTACGTTCTGAAATAAAAAAGGAAACATCTACTATAAACCACTTATTCTGCTCTTGGTCCTTAAAGTAATCCATGGGATGCATTAGTTTCCTTTTCGTATAAGAATATTATAAATTTGATTAGCCAATTATCTTAAAGGATACAAGAAATTTTTAAGGATTGGCAGAATTTTAAACAAATACATTCATATTATCAAGTTAAAGTCACTTTTTACAAAAACCATTTTTTTTTTTTTAGTTATAGGTGGACATAGTATCTTTTTCTTGGATTCCTTCGCTGCGTAAGATTTTTACAAGAATCAAAAATAAAATACTAACTTTTCATCCTTTTCTACGTCATGACATACATCCACAATCTGAAGAATGTTATGGTTTGCACTTAGTTCTAGTGCACCAATGTTTATRTGAATATAGTCTTTCAGGAAATCTTCAGCAAGTTGCCTTACTTCTTTAGGCCAAGTCGCACTCCACATTAGGGTTTGCCTATCAGGCTGAAAAATGGGGGAGAGGAGATGAAATTGTAAAGATGATGAAATTGGAAAAAATGCAGAATTGAGTCTGAAAGGCAACATATACAAGGGTGCTTACTCTTATCTGATCCACAATCTTCCTTATTTGGGGTTCAAAGCCCATATCAAGCATCCTATCTGCTTCATCAAGGACAAGGTAGGTTGTTCTTCTCAGATTGGTTTTCCCACATTCTAAAAAGTCAATCAGTCTTCCAGGTGTTGCAATACAGATTTCCACACCTTCAATTAAATGGATAAATATAACTGTAATACCCAGAACTTATGTCACTGCTAAGGATGAGGAAAATCTTTTAAATTGCATACCTCTCTCCAAATCACGGATCTGTGGTCCCTTGGGAGCACCACCATAGATGCAAGTAGACTTCAATCGACAAGCTCTGCAGTATTCAGCAGCTACTTGCTGCACCTGCTGGGCCAGTTCCCGAGTTGGTGCCAGCACCAAGCACTAAGGAAAAGAAACAACTTTTTAAGCAGACTTGGATACTAGGTCTGTGAAGTTTTTTTCTCTGGGTGGGAGAGGGGTACTAGGAATTGAACCAGGTGGATACTTGCTTCAAAATGCTAAATTTGTACTGGCAGATTACTTATGCTTTATAATACTTAAGGTAGCTCAAGCTAAATTGGACGAAAATACTAACATCTCTACATATAAAAGCACAACAAATTAGAAAATCGTTTGCTACACAGCCTACCCATCTCCACAATATCCTTCTGGCCAAATATTTAAAAAATATACTCACAATAGGCCCATCACCTCTCTCTAGGAATGGCTGATGATTGATGTGGACGATGGCAGGCAACAAATACTATTGGAAAAGAAGGACCATGAAAGAACACATTAGAATGCTATTTTTCCTTTCCCTCTATTTTCCTTGGTATTTACCACCAGTTAACCCAAAAGTTACAATGTAACTAAACTCTAACTTACAGACAATGTCTTTCCAGATCCAGTCTGTGCTACTCCAACCATATCCAATCCACTTAGAGCAACTGGCCATCCCTGAGCTTGAATTGCAGTGGGTTCTGTGAAGTTTTGCCTTGCAATCACGTCCATGACGTTTGCTGTCATCAATAAAATAATTTCAGTAAAAAAATTTTAATAAGAAAAAGGATGGAACACGAAAGGGGATGGAAACTGAGAACTAGCACTTACCAGGGAAGTTTGCTTCATAGAAATTCAGTACTGGCTTTGGACAGTTGTGACCTCTAACTGTAATTTCCTTGCTTCTTCTGTATGTCTCTACTTCTTGCTACAAAACAAATTAGGGCAGGTTAGTTAGACTCTAACTAAACCATCACCAACAAAAAAACCTTATAACGGACCAAAGTAAACTTTAACTACATTCACATACAAAAACCCTATATAGCATTAAACCACCTGTCCTATTACACCCCACCTATTTTATGTGGAAAATTCAAAGCCACCTGTTTGCAAGTCATACCTCCTCCCCAAGTCAAAGAATTAACTCTCTCAAAACTGGAGCTACTTTCAAGATACCTATCAAATTCTGACTTACTAGAAACCATAAGAAATTACTCACTGCTGTGCGTCTAGCCAAATCAGGGTGTTCCTGGTAAAAATTCTTCTCAAATTTGGGCAACTCATCAAGGTTCCACTTCTTTTTAACTAGTTTCTCCCCAGGATTTCCAAACTTCTTTCCAGATAGGGGCCCTGCCCTACTCCCTCCAAATCGAGGTGCACCAAACCTGAAATTAGGGAAAAAAGTTATTCACATTTCCAAAATCCACAGGTTCGAATACACATTCACTTATTATCCCTTGACATTGGCTAATGTATCCTTATGCAGATATACAACTTGAGTCCTTCCTTAAGGATAGGCCCATCACTTCTCTTTAGAAACAGTCATTCTCTTGACAGCCACAATTGGCGTCGCATGTCTCACTTCCCCTGGTCCCAGTACACACTACTGGGGCCAAACAACCTGGGATTCATAGGTGGGAAACTGGCTGCCCAAAAGGCAGAAGGTTCAGATTACAAGCGTAAACAACAGCTTGCATCTACTATTAGTCTTTCCCGCGAGTTTAAGAATTACGTAGGAGAAAGACAAGAAGGAAGCAGCTTAACAACGAAGTTATTTTTACGGCTGTTTTCAAGCAAAGCAGCTTTGGTGTTGTTAGATAACGGGACAGCCCTAGTAGTGAAAGCAGCCAAACGAGGAGGGTATTCTCGGGGACAATCACGCAGGCGAACTGAAGTGGGGGAACCCCGCGGAAGAGCTCCCGACCAAGGTAGCAAAATTATATAACGCGAGGAAAAAGAGAAGGAGGAGCCGGCGACTACCGGGGGAGGAGTCCCGGCCCGGGCGGAGCCGGCCGGGCGGCGTTCCCGCTGGGGCGGCGCTTCCCCCTTTGTCTCGCATTTCTCTCTGCGCCACATTTTCTCGACGCTGCCATTTTGAGCTCCTCCGCCGGGCGGGGTAACAAAGGCGCCGCCGCCATGTCCAAGGCCGGCATTTTGTGTTCGCGGCTCGGACACGAGACCGATTCCCCCGCGCCCGACACCCTCCCGCGCACCGATGGCCTCGCAAGCGGCCCCCCCAACGCCCACACATTACCCGGCGCCCCCAAAACCCCTCCCGAAAGGCTGCACCTATCGGCGGCGCCGTGGCCTCGAAGCGTCGCGCTTTCCTCCCCACGGAGAACGAATGTCCAGATTCCCCCCCACAGTTGCTAAATCCGAGGCCCCGAGGGCTCCCTGCCCACCTCCCAGCAAAAAGCCATCTTGAAGACAATTAACTGGCAAATCCCTCCTAACGGCTTTTACCTGAAAATCAAAATGGCGCAAGCCTTCTATTGAGGCCCTAGATGGGCCAAAAAGGCCGAGTCCCCCGCGCGCCGCCCCCCTCATCCCCTTCCCATCCCCCACCCACCCGGCCTGACAGGTTAGTTCCCACACTCACCCTCGATCCCGGCCGCGGTCTCGGTCACTCGAATAACCCGACATGGCGTCAATGGTTGCGGTTGGCGGGGAACGAAATGAAGAGAATCTGGAGCGACGAGTCGCTGTTAGTGGCCTCGGCTACGACGAAGCCTTGAGGGGGCGGCAGCGGCGGAGGAACCGCGATGACAACAATTGGAGCTAAACGACCAGAGACCGGTGGAAATGAATGAGGTGCCGGCCGAGTCCCGGCAGCCGGTTTTATAGTCTGGACCGCCTCCTCCACCGCAAAGAATGCTGGGAGCCGCTCTATGACCTAATCACCCCGCCCCCCGCGCAAAGGCCGCAACGCCCGCTGGCGTTCCGGAATCCGCCATGTTCTCACCCCTCCCCCCGCGGTCGCTCCCTCACAGTTGCCCGGTTTTCGCCCCTTTCACGTCTGTGCCCATCTATCATTGGGTTGCCTCATCTTGCAGTCTCTTAACTTCACCTTTTTCTTGCCTTTCCACACGTCAAGCGAGCTACTCTGTCCTTTTTCAGGCCTAGACAGGCTATAAAAAGGCCAGCACAATCCAACCCACTCGCCCCACTTGGTGATGTTTACGTCTCCGCAAGAGCCCCCACGCCCTTAACCAAATGAGGCGAGAAGGCGGAGCCTGATATTGTCACGTGACTGCCTCATGGGGTGAGCGGGCYGCACTACTTCCTTGGTTGGCGTCGGCGGAGGAACACAAACTAACTGAGCTCACCGGAAGTGCAGTTCTTTTGCCCCCGGGAGACGGGCCAGGGCTGCTGGATGACCTGGCCTGTCCAGCCCCGCTCCCTGAGAACACTTTCGCGGGATCTTGCCCGCGGGGAAGGGTTTCTTAGAGCCCGCAAACTGCTGCCTCGTCTCGTGCTGCGAAAGGAAGTGTTCCTGTAATGACCAATCAGCGGCGAGGAGCCGTTTTAACGTCCCTCCCTTCTTCACCCCTCCTTCCCCGCAATGTGGTCCGTTCCCCCTTCTGTTCGCTCCGGGTCTGCGCAGTGTGGCCCTAACAGGACGCCGTCACCCGCGAGCCCGCCTTGGAGTCCGGCGGTGACCCGTCTCCGCGACATGTCTGGCTCAGAGGCTGGTGAGTCTCGGCCTGGATCCCTGGTTTGTGGACTTCAGCTGTCCAACTTTCCGGCGGTCCAATACTGGGTCTGGGCTGCCCCTGAAGCTCGTGACCGTATGGCACATGGTCGCAGTCGCGGGTTCTCTGGATAAGGGTCTCAGCCTTACTACTTCTGTGCTTCAAGGCAGTCGGACAGCGACGTGGGCTGTGAAAGAGGGGTCTTGTGGTGAGGCTGGTAGGACATCCGCATCCTGGCTGCTATGCAGCAGTCAGAAAGATCTTCTCGGACTTGTATTTCTCTGGAATGTCCAGCCACTGTCAGTGTGTTCTCCGCTTTTGCATTGTGGGTGCTGAGGCCGAACCTACGTTTATATTGGTCTTGAAAGACGTGATATTTTTTAAGATACGTCGATGCCTTTGCCAAAGCAAAATAGCGGGATTTTGTGTTGTTGTTTTGCTGCCCTCTGGAGTTAAGGGTTTGTCTGGCATCGCTTTCGAAAAGCGAATTGATTTGGTTGTCTAGGACGCTTCGTCCTTTTCTCCAGTGCAAAACGGTTGTCATGGTTTGGTCAGCTATGAGAAATGGGCATGTGGAGGGAAATCGGTGTATGGAAGATACACAGACTTATTTGCTTCCRAAACGTGCGTCCATTACTTACCGGAGATGCATCTAATGCTAAAGTACTTTCCCTTTAATCACCAATAATTTCAGTGAACAAATGTTTCAAGCTTTCTACATTATCTTTAGTTGAGAAATCTTTAATCTTGATAATCCTAACACTGGGGGAGGGCCGGATGTGGTATAGCCCACAAAGAACTTCAACAGTATTTTTAAGATGCTAGTTCTGGAATTTAGGGATTTTTTAATGTATTTAATGTATATAAAATGTAATAAAACCTAACAGATGCATTAGTGTTATCATTATTCCAGTTCTTAACAGCCTAAATTAATCACCACCCTTTTGGGTACCAGAGAGACCTTGACTTGCACAATTGGTAAAAACATAACTAATACTATTGGGAATTTTAAACATCCTCCATCAATTAGTTTCTAGTAACTTGAGATTGTCATTTGCAAACTTTTTAAAATAACATGATAGTCCGTTTACTTATACCTTTTAAGTAAAAACACTTATTTAAGGCTTTTATAAAATAAAAACTAATACTAAATAAGTAAAGATTTTGGGTTGCAACAATAAAAATTGAAATTATAAACTCTGGAAATCATCCCAATACATCTTTTCAAAAATCTTAACTAGGAGGGTCTTTGAAATTTTTTAATAAATTTCTTATTTTGTAGAGTTCAATATCTGTTTTGTGGAGGTTGTTGATATTTTGTGCTTGACTTTTCCTAGTGCTAGTAAAGACTTATTTTCTCCTTTTTCCCCAACAGAGTGGGTAACCATTGCCAATAACCTTCTTTTTAAATGTCACATACATCTGAGGATACACACACTTGAAGATTGTGATTCTAATGTTTTTATTGCTCTTTATCAATCCATTTTGGGAGAAAAAGTTCCAGGTAAGTTCACTGAAAAAATGGTACTAATTGTGTCTGTATTTTGGGCCAAAAGTTTCTAGTTCTTTTAGTTAAATCCCTTGGTATTTATAAAATTTTATTTTCTCTGTCTGCATCTTATTTCTATCCAAATGTAGTATTTTTATGCTAATGAATATTTTAGGGGACCCTCTCATAATAATAGCCTTGATCAAATCAGTTTGAAGGCCAGCCCCATTTAATCTAATCATATTAATGCCTTGTAAAAGTCACACCATTTCTGTAAATAAATCTTCAAAGTTTTAAAAATTGAGCAGAACTTGGAAATTTGTTGGATTCTGCTACTTAACCAGTATTACAAATAAGAATTGATGTTTATTTTGACCCTAATTCACTAAGATAGTAAATTTATATTTTAAGTTGTGATTTGCACATTTTGCTGTGACCTTGGTTAAATAGCTGAGAATTCTTTTTTAAATTTAATTTTATTTATTTTTTTATTGGTTGTTCAAAACATTACAAAGCTCATGACATATCATCTTTCATACATTTGATTCAAGTGAGTTATGAACTCCCATTTTTACCCCAAATACAAATTGCAGAATCACATCAGTTACACATTCACATTTTTACATAATGCCATTTTAGTGACTGTTGTATTCTGCTGCCTTTCCTATCCCCTACTATCCCCCCTCCCCTCCCCTTCCATCTTCCCTTTCTACCTAATCTGTTGTTGTTCAGTTCTCTCCCTTGTTTTTTTCCCCCCCTTTCCCCTCACAACCTCTTATATGTGATTTCGTATAACATTGAGGGTTTCCTTCCATTTCCATGCAGTTTCCCTTCTCTCTCCCTTTCCCTCCCACCACTCGCCTCTCAGAATTCTCATCCATAGATTCCTTTACTGCTTTCATTTCTTTGTCAAGTCTCTGCTTATGTTTGCCTTCCTTATCAACTATTCACATCCCCTTGAATTTGGAGATACTTAATTTTAAGAAATGATCCCAGAGTTTCCCTGTTCATCTGCATATTCTTTTACATGGTACTTAATGTAAAACATGTTTATATGTTGGGTATAGTATCAAATAATTAAATAATATTGAAAAATAAATATTCAACTAAAAAGATACTACTTTGTAGAATTCAGGCTTTATCATTTTATCTGTACTACCATCTGTCCAGCTAATGCACAGCTTACTTTTGTTGCATTTGGGTTTACTCAAAAGCCTAGTCAAAGACAAATAGATAAAAACTTGGATCCTCATAGATGCAAAATAATGTGACTTTTGCTCCACAGACCTCATAGCTATTCCCAAGAGTCAAGAGGATGATGCCCACAATGTACAAGCAGTGATTGATTCATTGGCCTTGGATTATCTGCAGGTTAGCTTGTCTCACATAACAGGTTAGTATATTAGATAATTATGCATCTTAGTAAAATAACATTAGGTATTGTTTAATTAACCAAATGAGGGATCTTATAGAACCGACAAACTAAGACTGAACCAAGACAACTGATATACTTAGGGCAATCATATATTAAATCTTTTCAGGAGAATTGAACACTGAGTTTGTGATGGATCTGGATTTGAAATGAATTTCATGTATATTTTTGTTTTGTTATATTAAAGCATACCCATGCTGCATGTTTTTAGTAGCTAAAAGTTAGAAACACTTAAATGCCAATTAATAGGGACTGTTTAGATAAACAATAATAGCTCTGGAGAGTGAACTGCGAAATAGGTTTAAAAGATGATTGATAATGCTCTTTGTGCACAAAGTGTTCCATTTTAGAGAAGCAATCTCCAGTGTATATTGTGAGAAAAACACAGTGTAGTTATATTGTATAGAGTATGCTGCAGTTTGTTAAAACGAGTAGGGAAAATATATATGCAGATATATCCTGTTGAATGCAGTCAGAAAGACTCTTGAAAAATAGATTTAAAAAACTTTAATAATGATTGCTTCCAACATGGGGAACTTCAGGGTTACAAGAAAGGGAGCCCAGATTTTCACAATATATCATATTTTTTTGAATTTTGAACCATATTATATATTCAAAAGCTTTTAATAATATAAGCTGCTTTTTAAAGACTTTTCCTAAAATAAAATGAAAGCTACTTTGCTGTGTTCCAAAAACAAGCATACCAAATATATTTACAAATCCTTATGTTTGTCAAAAGTAGTGAATAAGAATTATTCCAATAAATTATTTCAAGCTAAGGAACAGAGAATCTTAGGGACTTGAAGCTATATTTCAGTCCAAAAAGAAGGCGTATACTATTGATGTATTTTTCAACATTGGTTAAAGAAGATAAATGGTAATAAGGGTAGGAAATTGACATTTCTTAACTTAATATTGACAAGAACAAATTTTTGCAGAGATACAGTCATTAGTATTTAAGTTCAGTTCTAGGGGAGTAAATGGGATAAATCAATTTGGAGATAAATTATTTTAAGAAATGATCCCAGATTTTCCCTGTTCCTTTGCAGTTTGAAATTGCTAAATCACCTGAGTATGTTGGACATTTTCTGATATTTGTACTTTTGAAATATACTATAGAAAGATTGTAAACATACATATGTTTGCAGAAGTTTTTATTGTGAAGTTGCCTCTCACAAACTGCACTCACCCATGAGTTATTGCAAATTGCTTACCTCCTCCAGTAGATTGCAGAGCAGCTTTTGACTCCTTATGTTGTGTGCAAAGTAGTTTCTCTTCCACCACAAAGCAATGCTTTCTGGCCAACAGTCTTAATTGCTGGGTTGGCAGAGTATGCTCCCCATCCTGGAAACTGAGAAGTCTTGAGTATGCCCATGGGTATGCATATGTATTTTAAGCCAGAAAAACACAGGGCTTAAAAACAGGATTTCACACTCATTATTTCAAATAGAATAAAGTATTCCAACTCTAGTATAGTTTTGTATCATAAGTTAAGAGTGGCCAGCTTTTCTCAGATGTCAAACTTCTACTCTGCTTCTCCCATTCTGGTTTGAATTCTTGAGAATGCTAGGCATGATATCCCAAAGGGATCACCAGAGCATCACAACGGCCAAGTTCCATCCATACCTGATGTTGACTGGAATCCTTTTTTTTTTTTTTTTTTTTTAAAGAGAGAGTGAGAGAGGAGAGAGGAGAGAGAGAGAGAATTTTTAATATTTATTTTTTAGTTCTCGGCGGACACAACATCTTTGTTGGTATGTGG